TCTTTCTAAACACAGATCGAAAAACCCAGATCTTCCTTTTATTTTGGTTTCATTTGGGTTCGTTGAATTGAGGGGGTCTTGTCCGTTCATCATCATCATTCATCTCCCGACCACTTTCATCTCGTCTTCCTCGAAAAGGCTTGGGGAAGCCCGAAAATTTTCTATATTATATATATTGGTCGGATCTGCAGAAGAAACTTGAAAAGAGAGAAGAACGGGAGATTTCCGGTCATCCCTTACCAAGCTTTGCCTGGTTATTCATCTCCTACGGGGTTTTCAAGAAGGAGAGGTAAGAAAAAAAATCTCAGATGCAGGCGACTATCACTGATCGGAGACGGATTGCGGCGCCGGAACTCTAACGAGAAAGGGATAAAACCCTACAGCGGCCAACCATCAATCGGGAGGAGGGAAGGGGCCTACCGCTAGCTACTTTCGTGGGCGTTATTAGAACAAGAAAGGTCAAGCGAACAGACGTCGGTTTCCATGTTTTCACAGGAATGCGCTCAAGTTTTTTCGAAGAAGGAGCTAGTCTGACTGGCCTTGGCGTTCTCCCTTGACACAATTGAAACTAGGAACCAGTGCCTAACTATACGAAGATGGGGCGGCTGGTGATAATGGGAATAAAAAAGGAGGAGAGCAGGCATACGAAATTGGAGGGTAAATGCATGGGAACAACAAAGGAGGAGGCTGGAAGCGTGAACCACGCCAGGCGTACAAGGGCCAAAAATTGTCTACAAACCAGCCCAACTAGCTATGCGCCCCTTGTCCAATTTAAAGAAGAAGAAAAAAACGAAACAGAAGGCATGCGTTTACTTCTATGTGATTCGAACTTGGCGCCTTTATGGTGAAAGTTAGGCGCCCGCATCATCTGACTATACGCTTGCTCAAATTTTCCAGTTAAGGAATAATATTGCATGATGGAATGCTCCTGTTTATCAAGTCAGGACCGAGGCGCCTAGATATCAAATTTATACAACATGCAACAACGCCTAGCAAGAATCAAACTCTCGACCCAATGCTTGAAAAAGCAAAGTGAAAGTGGAAGCTGTCAGACACATGGATTGAACCTTGCGTCCAGCGCCAACTTCAAGTCAAGCACCTTCACCAACGCCTCAACAAACATTCAAACTTGCGCCTCTAATTTCTTGATCGAGATTTGTCGCCTCCCGCCATATCTTATGTTACAAGAGAGGAAATAGGTACATGTCATTAATGGGAGCAAAATTCTGTACTTCCCGCCAAGAAACAAGCTAAGTACCCTCTCCTCTTTAGTTATTGCGTAATATTCCAAAGTGCTAGGTCATGATTTGAACTACTTCGTTATTAGGAAATCTATGACAACATGCTATACTCGTCTACATGCCGCTTATATCTTTCGTGATGCATATAACTCTTATGTTGCCATCGAAACACTAGAAACATCTGCATGATATTTGAGATACTCTCGACACCCAAAAATATAGTGTTTCGTGGTTGGTAATACTCTCCGCGTCCAATTATAGCGCCCTCGATGGAAATACTCTCCGCGCCCAAATGCAGCGCCTTTAATTAAAAATACTCTCCGCGCCCAACTATAGCACCCTTGATGAAAATACTCTCCGCGCCCAAATATAGCGCCTTTGATTGGAAATACTCTGCACGTCCTACTATAGCGCCCTCGAATAGAAATACGGTTCACGCCCAAGTATAGCGCTTGTGGTGGGGAAAACTCTATGCGCCTATAATACTTAAAGTGCCTGTTGATGGAAATAATTGTTGTTCCAAGATCTAGTGCCTGAAGTATATCGTTCATTATAGAAAGCGTAGAGCATGTTATGCTTGCGAGTTCTATAAGTGATACTCCAATCATTTATGGGAACACGCATACTAAGGCGCTTAATATATGTGAGCAGTGTGATCTTTTGGGTAGTTCGTGAGTAGACAGATTGAGGCGCATGCCCTTTTATCATTCCACCTTTCATCCTATAATTATTGAGAGTGAAGTGGCGTAATAGACAGAAAAGTAAATGGGGTTAGAAGCAATACAAATTTAGAAGGGAAAAATAAAAATAACATGTTTATGTTTCTTTTGCTTTGCTTTGCTTTCAAAAGCGCAGGCGCCCATTTAAATTTGGACAAGAAGATGGTACTCAAGGAGTCGCCCATCACACATTGAATGCCCTCAACGACTCGAACTAGGCGTATAACAAAAAAAGGCGCCAAGCAGCTCAAGCTCAAAAGCTCCAACTCGCAAGACCCACGATGAGAACCACACTCGTTAAGTCACCTAGAGGTGGCCGAAGTCCACGATGGGGAGGGTAAGTCCCAGCCCTCCCAGGCATCTAGTCAATTAATAGCCTGGGCGTCAACGATTCAAATATGACCATGTGTCTTGTTCACATACCAAAACACAAGCGCTGGAATTGAGATTCAAGCTCAGTGCCCTGTGGAAATCATGATGCATTGTTGATAGGCTGCACTGCAATTTTATAACATATGAGGGAACACGCCCTTATTCCGTGTGCATTATCTTGGCGACATACACGTACGAGGAAGTTACATCAAGAGATAAGTATTTCCTATCACTATTTGAGTTATCTTCCTAACCAATGCATGAGTCAAATTTTAGTACACTATTTCATATTTGCACGATTATTTTCGTTATTTAATTAAGGCGGCATTGGAGGAAAAAATACCAAAAGATCGTATATCAAATTTGGCAAGTCGGTAACTTTAGTTAGTCGCCCAGTGCACCACTAGGTGCCTAACTGGGGGACAATTGGGGATAACATGCGCATGCATATTCAGGATTGTTACAAGGCAAACAAATCTCCAATTAGGTGTCGTAAACGCCATAACCTTGTTAGATGCCAGAACTGCAATAATTAATTTCTGAGGCAAATAAATCTCTAGTTAAGCAACTAAAAAGCCATAGGATTGTTAGACGTAAGAAGGGCACTACAGTTTTGCCACTATTTGAGTTAATTCTTAATCATGTTATGAGTCACATCATGTTTCATTGCGCATTCTCTGCATAGTGCTTGTTTTGACGTGTTCCACTAACATGAGTTTGGGGACATGAGTTAACATAACGGGGGGACAAGATGACGCCTGTGTGCCGCATGCCAGAAGCATAATCTTAGAAAATTTGACATGTTAAAGACTTCCAGTTAGGCATCCAGTATACTTCTAAATGCCTAACTGGGGGACAATTGTTAGGCTTATAAAATATGTAAGACAAACAAATTTGCAGTTAGGCGTCTAAAATGTCGTAATATTATATTGGTAGACTTGAGAAGTGCAATAAGTGATTTTTATTACTACTTGAGTTATATCTCTAATCATCTATGAGTCATATAATGTTATATTGCTCAGTCTTTTCATAGTTTTCGTTGTAAGTTATTCGATCAGCACAATGTTGGGGGGCACGAGTCAACTAGCCAGAGTACAAAGGGGTGCCTTCAAGTCGCCAAAGGCAAAATACAAAAGATGTGACAACTTAAAAGAATTTTAGTTAGGCAATCAGTATACTACTGAATACCTAACTGGGGGACAATTGTTGGACCCGCAAATATGACACTGCCAAACTCGAACAACAATGGTGATCTACAAGTGTGTATGGGCCCAAGCCCACAAAACATCACAAGGACCCAATGGAATCCCAATGAAGTGTGATAAGGTTTGACCTATAAATATGCTCGTAGGTCTTCCAAGTAAGGCACTCTCATTCTCTTCCCTCATTTTTAACATATCACTTATCTCTCTACAATCTCTCTCTACCTAAGCTCTCCCTATTTCCCTATCACTATCTAATGTTGATCGTCAGAGTGTAGATAATGGGGGCCATCCCCGTCCTTTTCACATATCCGAAGCTCCCTTGTTTCTTGGACGAAACATTATTCAACTCTATGAAATCTGAAAATTACATTGAATCAAAGCTACTTAAATAGACCCAGCCAATCCTACTACTCTTAGAGAAGTCCTAAACAAATTACAATTGGAAAAGGAAATCAAAACCAACAATGAAAAGGAATTAAACACAAAACAACAAAGGAATCCTAATCCGATAAGGATTCGGATTGCCTGGTTTCCAAAGACAGAAACTCGGCTTCGATATGATATTTGGAGCTTTCGTTCGAGGCCTTCCAGAACTTCAATCTTTCATCTGATTCCTTCCCTTGGTAGGTAAACATGCCTATTTTCATGTTGCAGAAGCCTTTGGTCTCGAATCGGATTCATGCTCCTTGAATGGAGCTCCAACGTAGGCTTCATGAATACATATTTATACTTAACAATTTCCTGGCAGTTTTCCAGTTTTGAGGTAGCAACTTGATCGACCTGGAAATCACTCTTTTGGGCTTCCTCTCAAGCTCCAAAGTACATCAATGGAAAGATAAACTCTCCACCTTCAAAACAAGATCTTAAACTCGAATTTTCATTAAGCCAATAACAAGTTCCCGATGTGCAAAGTTCGTTACCTGAAACTATAAAAGAACTTAGCCAAAATTCAATGTTCTTTGATGTACTTTGCTTACCTTCTTGATCAATCAATTCCAGCTTGATTGAGGGTCAATTTGGGATCATATCACTATGTGCCCCCAGTTTGTTCCACCACGAATCATAAACAGACTGGTAGCTAAGAGAGTATACAATCGTGGAAGCGGGTCGACTCACAACAAGCGAACGCTCTGGCTGATACGATATACCCTGCATGTAGCCTAACAGCCGAGGCATCTAGTGGGATCATATGGCTCTACTATCTCTGCAAATCTGATCATGCCCTGATACAAGGTACGTCTCACGCTCATATGAGGCCTCAGACCATAAGGAGTCCAAACAACCTGTTGTGGGGTCAAACTATCAATCGTCTGACGATAATAAGCCAGCATGAGTGTATCCTTCTTATTTGTCGACTGAGGTGAGATACCGCACCACTTCACTGCCCCTGCCTCCCCCTGCTCCAGCTTTCGTGGCTCCAATCGACTAGGCCTCAAGATAGGAAAGTGGTCATAAATCCAACACTATAGTAAAGTCACACAACCCACCACTTCCTTAGCCTCCGCCCGCGAGGCAATACCAAGCTGCCTGTACAGATAAACAAGTGCTCCAGCCCCCATCGCGTACTCTCTCAGCATCTCTGGCCTCTTCACAAACAAGTTGATAACAGAAGAAACACGGTACTTACTCTTATCTGCGAACAGTGTGGACCCTAGAAGTAGAAGAAGTTAACACTGAGCCTCTCTAGCTGGCGAACCAAACTCCTGCAAATGAGCCAAAGCTGCCAACATGCGGCCCCTGGCCCAAATCCGCACAATCCACGCCCAATAGTGCTCGCATGTCATCCTCCAGTGACATCTTCTTCAACTACCTCGGATTCACTGCCATCGCCTCTCCCTCAACTGAAATGCCAAGGATGTGCACCACGTCGTGAAAAAGGATCGTCATCTCTCCAAACAACATGTGGAAGGTGTTGTTATCCGGCTTCCACCTCTCCACAAATGCCGATATGAGAGCAGTGTCCAGCTTGCTTTGAAAGGTGATATCTGCGAGGTGAGCAAGGCCAGATGACACTACGGTACCCCTAGCGAGAGAATATGCGATCTCGTAACTCTGTAGAACGTGCTGAAGTGTCGAACTCATATCGTAGCAAGTGATCACCCCTCTACCAGCCTGTCCTATGTAAAGACGGTGGGTAACATGCCCAAGAAAGCTACGGAGCAAGCTCGGGTCGCTGGGTCCTCCAGTGCACGATCCTCTAAGCTCCCACCCCGCTCCCACATCAGCATTACCACTCTGACCCTCACCGGGCTGTGGAGCTCTGTAGAAACGGCCCGCATGGTCTCTATAAATCCCAGTAACGGCGTTTGATGATCCGCTGACGGCACCTCTATCTCTGATTGGACCATCTCGTGGAATGCGATCCTCAATAACATCCGAATCATACTGCTCAGACTCGTCGTCAATCTCGTCTGAAGGCTCCGGCTGTGAACTGTGCTGATCCCTCGTCCCAAAGGTGTGACTGGAACGATCTCCACTACCAACCATACTAGGCAACTGAAAATCAAACTCAGGAAAGCCATCTGCCCTCAATCTCATCGGGTGATATAGCTGATGTTGTTATGGCTCATGCTCAAGCTCTTACTGCTCCCCCGACCTATATTCACGCTTTGACTTCTTATTTCTCATACTCATACTAATGTTTTTTTAGGGAAGTACTCATACTAATGTTACGCACAAAGAATCTACTCAATTTCTTTCCTGATCCTCCAGCATCACCAGTTGACGCCATCTCTAAACATAGTAAATAATTATATATTAATCTCTTATAATAAATTAATTTTTGAGCAATTTGTTCACAATTTTTTTTTTATCATAGACTAATTATGATACATACAACTTATTAACCAATTAATTTAGCTAGATAGTTATTTTACTAAATACGATAGATAGTTATTTAACTAATTATTTCAACTTACTCAATTACTTAACTAAAATAGGATAGATAATTATTTTAACTACATTAATTAACTAACAATTAAATACTTATTATTCAACTAACAATTATATACTAATTATTCAACTTACAATTATATACTAATTAATATACTAACAAATGAATTTAAAATAAATATAATAAATATTTTCTTAATTAACCCGAACCAGTCAAGACCTAGTCCGACCAGGCCCAGCGGACTGGGTCCGACCAGGCAAGGTGGACGGCGTCCGAGTATCGGGCCAGGTCCGACGCCGACAAGGAGACAGAGAAAAAAATAAAAAATTTACCTTTCGACGGTGGCGACGACTGCTACAGCGGCGAGAGGGAGCTCGAGTGGATTGGATCTCGGGTGGTCGGTAACGGCTGTGGTCTGTGGCTAGCGGCGGAGGTTGCAAGGTTGCTGGCGGCGACTGTGGCTGGCGGAGGTTGAGGCTGGTGAAGGAGGTCGAGGCTGGCCGGCCGGAGGGAGCAGCGGCGGTTGGAGATTTTTGGATAGAAGGGAAGGGAGGTGAGGGGTTGGGTTGGGTTGGATTGGGGGTAGATAGGTTTAGGGTTTTAAATTAGAGCAGGGGCAAATTCATCATTTTTTTGTAACTATAGGCGGCAAATAATAAAATTACAGGGGCAAATAGCTATTATTTTTTCTATTGTCCAATGGACTAATTTTAATTTATTTATCAGATATTCACAACAATAGAAAAGTTTTGAGTATGTTTGTGTTGGTTTGTTGCATGCATGTGCACTCATTCATGTGCACTCTTTTTCTTTTATCCTCCTCCCTGCAAATTCCGTCCAATCTTATTAACATGTTTCCCAATTATAAAAGAAAAAAGAAAGAGCTTTTTTTTGTTTGTTGGGATCCCCATTATTGTTTTGTTTTTCCATCTCTTCGTTTCTTCTCCTCCAATTAAAACAGGGGAGGGGAAAACGAACCCAAAAAGGTTCCCCTGCTTCCGTTTTCATTTTCTGGCCTCTGTTTTTCAATTTGGCCGGAAACCCCGATTCTAATCAGATTCTTCTGAGATTTTGCTTTCCTTCCTTCCTTCCTTCCTTCCTTCCTGACTGAGTTTATTTATGGCTTCCTTTGTTCTTCATGGAGGTAATAATCCAATAGAAAAGAAGAAGATAAAAACATGGAAGTCTGTTTTTTGTATTTCTGTTTTTCCCTTGTTTCTAACTTTAGCCTCTGTCGTTTTTTTTATGCCGCAGGCCTATAATCTAGGATGTGGCAGAGCTCAGAATCGGAAATGGGAAGTCGGAATCAAGCTCCAGGAATCTAAGGTTTTGGTCTTCTCAGAACAATTACTAATGGAGATGATCAAAGATGCAGACTTTGATCTGGGTTTTCTCCAGAAAGGCTGAGCTTGTAAATGTTTGCTAGAAGATATCTATATCTATATCTATACAGAAACAGAGTAAACCCAAAACCCAGAAAGAAAAAGGGTTTTTCCTTTTTATCAGTATGGATGAAACTCCAACGAGCTCGCCGGCTGTGACGATGCAGCACACGCCGGCGCGAAGGAAGAAGATTGCGAAGCAGCTGACGGGGAAGAAAGGAGACACTTCGCTGCATTCCGCGGCAAGGAGCGGGAACATGGCCGCCGTAGTGGAAATCCTATCCGGGAGCGACGAGGAGGAATTGAGAGAGGTTTTGGGGGTTCAGAACCAGTCCGGCGAGACCCCCCTCTACGTGGCGGCGGAGTACGGGTACGTTGACCTGGTCAGGGAGATGATCCAGTACTGCGACGTCGCCGACGCTGGAATCAAGGCCAAGAATGGATTGGACGCCTTCCACATTGCCGCCAAGCAATCGGATATAGGTAAATTGTCAATGCTGTTCATTTCTCTTATGTCTAGTTTTCAGCAGGGAATATGCAAATCAATGTTGTTCATGCCCCCTACATTCTTTCCCCCTAGATGTTTTGAGGGTGCTGATGGAGGCTCATCCAGAGCTAGCAATGACAGTAGATCTGTCAAACACGACGGCGTTGCACACGGCGGCGATGCAAGGCCACATCGAGATAGTCAACTTTCTTCTGGAAGCAGGGAGCAGCATAGCCACCATTGCCAGGAGCAACGGCAAGACAGCCCTGCATTCCGCTGCCAGAAACGGACACGTCGCGGTGGTAAGGGCACTGGTTTCGGCGGAGCCAGCGATCGCAACGAGGACGGACAAAAAGGGCCAGACGGCGCTTCACATGGCCGTCAAAGGCCAGAACGTTGTCGTCGTGGAGGAGCTGATCAAGGCTTCACCTGAGATTTTGAACTTGCTCGACAACAAAGGCAACACTCCTTTGCATATTGCTAGCCGAAAAGGCAGAGCACCGGTAAAAAAGAAAAGAAAAGAAAAGAAAAAAAAACTCATTTGGTACTCTTTGGGAAATTCTGAATTCAGTTCCTGAATTCATTTTTTTACCTGCAGATAGTGAAATTGTTGCTCCAACACAATGAATTGGACACGAAAGCGGTGAACAGAACGGCGGAGACGGCCCTCGACACGGCGGAGAAGATGGGTCAAGACGAGGTGAAAGCCATACTCGAAGAACACGGCGTCGAGAGCGCAAAAAACCTCAACCCGCAGAACCGAAACCCGGCCCGAGAACTGAAACAGACGGTGAGCGACATCAAGCACGAGGTTCACTACCAGCTCGAGCACACGCGACAAACCCGAAAGCGGGTTCAGGGGATCGCGAAGCGACTGAACAAAATGCACGCCGAGGGCCTCAACAACGCCATCAACTCCACCACCGTCGTCGCGGTCCTGATCGCCACTGTGGCCTTCGCCGCGATCTTCACCGTCCCAGGCCAGTACGCGAGTGACCCGACCCAGATGCTCCCCGGACAGACCCCGGGCGAGGCCAACATTGCACATCAGGTATTAGAGTATAGGCAGTACCAAGTAATTAATTTCCGTATTACTATTAGAGCTATATACAGTTTCCACCGAATTCTGATTTCTCGAACAACAGGCACCCTTCATGGTGTTCTTCCTCTTCGACTCTGTCGCGCTGTTCATATCGCTGGCGGTGGTGGTGGTGCAGACGTCCGTGGTGGTGATCGAGAGCAAGGCGAAGAAGCGGATGATGGCGGTGATCAACAAGCTGATGTGGATCGCCTGCGTCCTGATCTCGGTGGCGTTCCTTGCGCTGTCGTTCGTGGTGGTCGGCGAGAGCGAGATGTGGCTGGCGGTTACCGTGGCGATCATTGGGACGGTGATAATGGCGACAACACTCGGCACGATGTGCTATTGGGTGATTAAGCACCGGATTGAGCTGTCCAATCTGAGAAGCATTCGCCGAAATTCTATGAACAGTCGGTCTCTATCGTTTTCGGCTTCGTATATGTCGGATTCCGAGCTGCTTAATAACGAGTTCAAAAACATGTATGCCATTTAGAATTTGCTCATCTTTTTTTACTTACACTTCTTGTATACTTTTGTCACCAAACTAAGCGTAGAAATATCGATGTAACCGCTAACCGGCCTATTGGAGCGATCTTCAGCTTTATAAACGATGACTTGTTCGTTTGATCGATTCATTTGCAGTATAAAATGTATCAACTCGCGTGGCCCATTCTACAAACACCAAAAATTAATGGGACTACATAGGTTTTGTATAGTTATTGGTTGTTGGTGGTATA